TGCACAGCAAAGGAAACCATCAACAAATCGAAAAGACGACCCACAAAATGGGAGAAAATATTTGCAAACAAAGTGACCGACAGGGGATTAATCTCCAAACATACAAACAGCTCGTGCAGCTCTGTCAAAAACACAAACAACTCAATCAAAAAATGGGCAGAAGATCTAAACAGACACTTCTCCAAAGAAGACATACAGATGGCCAAAAAGCACATGAAAAGATGCTCAACTTCACTAATTATCAGAGAAATATAAATCAAAACTACAATGAGGTACCACCTCACACCAGGCAGAATGGCCATCATCAAAAAGCCTACAAACAATAAATGCTGGAGAGAGTGTGGAGAAGAGGGAACCCTCTTGCACTGTTGGTGGGAATGTAAATTGATACAGCCACTATGGAGAACAGTATGGAGATTCCTTAAAAATCTAAAAATAGAGTTGCCATATGATCCAGCAATCCAACTCCTGGGCATATATCTGGACAAAACCATAATTAGAAAAGACAGATGCACCCCAATGTTCACTGTTCACTATTTACAATAGCCAGGACATGAAAAAAACCTAAATGTCTATCAACAGATGAATGGATAAAGATGTGGTGCATATATACAATGGAATATTACTCAGCCATAAAAAAGAATGAAATAATGCCATTTGCAGCAACATGGATGGACCCAGAGATTATCATACTAAGTGAAATAAGCCAAAGACAAAAATCATATGATACCGCTTATATGTGGAATCTAAAAAAATGATACAAATGAACTTATTTACAAAACAGAAACAGACTCACAGACATAGAAAACAAACTTATGGTTACCAAAGGGGAAAGGTGGCAGGGAGGGATAAATTAGGAGTTTGGAATTAACATACATACACTACCATATATATAAATAGATAATCAACAAGGACCTACTGTACAGCACAGGGAACTCTACTCAATATTCTGTAATAACCCATACATGGGAAAAGAATCTGAAGAAGAATAGATACATGTATATGTATAAATGAATCACTTTGCTGCACACTTGCAACTAACACAACATTGTAAATCAACTATACTCCAATATAAAATAAAAATTTAAAAACAAAAAAAAATACACGCACTCCAGCGTTCACAGCAGCACCATTTACAATAGCCAAGACATGGAAGCCACCTAAATGTCCATCAACAGAGGAATGCATAAAGAAGATGTGGTACATATGTACAATGGAATATTACTTGGCCATAAAAAAAGAATGAAATAGTGCCATTTGCAGCAACATGGATGGACCTAGAGACTATCATACTAAGTGAAGTCAAGTCAGACAGAGAAAGACAAATAGCACGTAGTATCACTTATTTGTGGAAGCTAAAAAAAATGATACAAATGAACTTATTTACAAAACGGAAATAGACGCACAGACATAGAAAACAAAGTTATGATTACCAAAGGGGTAACAGTATGGGGGACAGATAAACTAGGAGTTTGGGATTAACACACATACACTACTATGTATAAAACAGATAACCAACGAGGACCTACTGTATAGCACAGGGAACTCTATTCAGTATTGTTATAACCTATATAAGAAAAAAGTCTGAAAAAGAATGGATATATGCATAACTGAATCACTTTGCTGTATACCTGAAACTAACACAACATTGTAAATCAACTAGACTCCAAAACAATTTATTAAAAACAAAAAGACTCATGGGTAGGATTTATAAAGGAGAAAAAGACCATGATTCCTTTATATTATTTATGGTTTATTTTTTAAATGGGAAGAGTAAGTCAGGCTTGTTGTAACACACAACATTTATAAATGTGTACAAAATAAAGGTGTATAAAGAAAAAAAATATACATATATGATACCTTTTTCAAGTGTCTGGGATAAATAAGTGATGGTCTGTATGACCAGGACTCTCTTTAATTAGAGTGTTCCAGGCCAGATGCATTTCATTATCTTGTAGCTGTTTTAGTCCATCTGGACCAAGACTTTCCCAAATATGCTCATTCAGTTTCACGGCTTTAGATACCATTTTTATACTGAAAACTCACCAATTTACATTTTTAGGTGAGACTCCTTTCTGAATTCTGTACCCATATGTTCAATTGCATTCTCAATATTTTTACCCTCAGACATGACACGTCCCAAACTAAACTCCTACCTTCTTCCTCTGAACCCTCCTGGAGCCGGATTCCCGTCCTCCCCGGGGCGCAGGCCCCAACCTCAGATTATCCTTTATGCCTCTTGTTCTCACATTCCCCAGTCATCAAGCAAATGCCATCGGCTCTACCTTCAAAATATATCCAGAGATTGGCTACTTCTCACCAAATTCCACTGCTATCATTCTGCTCCAAGTTTCATGATTCTTCGCCTGGATTATTCAAACAGTTTCCTACCTGCTTCATTCCCTGCCCTCCTACCATCTATTCTCAACACAGCAGCCAGATCGGTGCTTTTAAAACTGTCTCTTCTCAGCTCAAAACCCTTCCATGGTGAGTTCCCTGGTGGTCTAGTGGTTAGGATCCCAGGCTTTCACTGCCACGGCCCAGGTTCAATCCCTGGCCAGGGAACTGAGATCCCACAAGCCGCGTGGCACAGCCAAAAAACAAAACAGAACAAAAAAGCCCTTCCAATGTTCCCGTCATCCCTTGGAGTCAAAGCCCACGTCCTCGAGTGGCCTTCGAGGCCCTGCGTACAGCAGGCCCCTCGCGGCCTTCCCTTCTCATGTGCCTGGCTTGCCCTGCTTGAGCGCCACCTGCCCCTGCTGCTCTGGAAGGTGCACGGCACACACCTACCTCAGGACCTCTGCACCAGCCCGGAAAGCTCTGCTCCTTCCCGGCAGTGCTCGCTCCCTCCTCACCATCCTCTTATCTTTGTTTCTATATCAGCGTCTCAGCAGCGCCCTCCCTGCCCAGCCCATGTACAATTTTCAACTGTTCCAATCAGGCGTTCCCATCCCCCTTCCTCTCTAAAGTTTGCTTCACTGGGCACTGCCTTGGAATACAAGAAATCTCTAACTCAACTAGCTGTTTATTTTCCTCCCCAGTTAGAACAGAAACCCCATGTAAAAGGTCAGGGGTTGACTAGCATGTCATCAGCACCTAGAGTTGTGTATTACATATAGGAGGTGCCCAATGAGTATCTGTCCAGGAAATAAGGTGTAATATGAAAATGAACTTGTCCCAAATAACTAAAGTTTCTCTTTTCAAATCCCCAGATTTAAAAAAAAAAGTTAATAAAAATCTTAAAAAAAAAAAAAGAAAAGCATATACTCTGCTTTCTTAATCCTAGTGCGCTGATCAAAATTTAAACTTTGCTACTGGGTGCCAGCCGCTGTTCTAAGCACATCACGACAGCTTTTCTCAACAAATCTTGTAGCCGCCACGAGAACGGTAGCCCCATCGGGGGAGCTACCCTACCCGCTTCTCCCATATGGAAACCCAGGTACCTAGAGTAACGTATGTGCAGGCACTGGGTCCACAGTCTCAACGCCTACCCTCACCCAGTGGCACACCCACTGGATCCCACACTCTCTCTTGCACACGGCCAGATGTTCCTTGTCACTGAGACCAACACATCTCCTCCCAAGTAGCCTCTTAAAATGTCTTTTCGCTATGAGCTAAAAAGAACAAAAAGCCATGTCTCTTAAAACAGGGTCCTAATTTTACCCTCACATCAAGCTGGGTTGCAGCTATAAGCAAAGCTTCTTTTTTTTGCTGCTTGCTGTTTTAACTTCCAGGATGTGTTCTCTGAAGACCATATACAATAAAAGTTTAAACAATCCACTCTTAGTGCCACTTTTGTGTAGGAAAGGAGACACCAGGAGTGCTGAAAAGCAATGTACTGAAAGACAGCTTCAGAGATGGAATCATCGAGCATACCCACTGTTGCCGCAGCTTGTGTATTTATAATTAGAGAACTGAGAGGAAATGGTGGGATCATCTCCGATCAAATGCTGTCTACATCCTATGGAATCATGTTGGCAAGACTGACAGAAATTCTCACATGTTCTATCTGGGCTTCTTCTGAAACATACTGTAGACCAGTTAGATTTGCTACATTTTTACTGTCCTTCTATATCTGACACTGGATGCTGTCACTTCCCAATCTTATGAATGTGTTTGCCTCTATTGGATTTCCCACTTTTAATTCACTAAGATGATCCAAGAACCCTATAAAAAGGTAATTTATTTTATACCCAAATGTTTTACATCAATTAGCAACTATGTTAACAACCCCCCCTTTATTTTTGGCTGCGCCGTGCAGCGTGCAGGATCTTAGCTCCCCGACCAGGGATCGAACCCGGGTCCCCTACAGTGGAAGCGCAGAGTCCTAACCACTGGACTGCCAGGGAAGTCCCAACAATGCTCTATTTTTAAGACAGAGCAGAATGTTTGAAATTCCTTAAATGTCTCAGAGAAGAAATTCTATTATTGCCTGAGATGAAAGAGTGAGTCAACATAAAGGAAAACCAGGTGTTCTGTGTGTGGGGTACAGTGTATATAAAATTTACCATTTTAACCATTTTTAAGTGTACAATTCAATGGCATTAAGTACACTCACACTGTTTACAACCATCACCATTATCCCATCTCCCGAACTTCTTCATCATCCCATGAAACAGGAACTCCCCATTCGCTCTCCTGTCCCTCCAGCCTCTGGCAACCTCTTTTCTACTTTCCGTCTCCATGAATTTGCCTATTCTTGATACTCATATAAACAGAATCACACACCATTTGGTCCTTTTGTGTCTGGTTTATACAACTTAGCATAATGTGTTCAAAATTCATCCATGTTGTAGCGTGTATGAGAATTTCATTCCTTTTTAAGGCTGGGTAATATTCCATTGTATGTACATACCACATTTTACTTATCCCTTCGATACCTGGGTTTTTTCCACATTTTGGTTACTGTGAATAATGCTGCTATGAATACTGCTCTCAGTCTTTAAAAGATCAAACTAGTAAAGGTCACCTTTCTTCCACAGCAAAAAATTATCACATACCACAGTGAAGAGTTTTCGCTGTAACGGTTGATATGATGTCACTTCCTTCAAAGTCCAAGTACAAGCCATGTTTGGTCTCTGTCCCAGTCCACTGCAGGGAGCATCCAGAAGAATTCGGTCAAAAGATTCTGGTAAGAATGGAGGTTCTCCTATAAAGAGAATTATAAACATTATTTGCTCTCTGCCCTATTAGGACAGAAAACTCCTGAAACAGATGCAATTATCGGAATTTAACATCATCATCTAGAACAGAAAGTAATGCATAACAATTCCATCAGGTAGCTGGCTAAGCTAACTGACTTACAGGTAAAAGGTTAAAGATGTGATTATTATAGGATTAACTGATATAGCGCAAGCCAAGGCCTAATCAAACAAGACCGGAACCCCCAATGTCAGAAGCCACACTTCACCAGAGCTAGGACATGAAATTAACTCTAGTCATTCTAAGAGCTGGTATTTTTCTTAGTAAACCTTACTGCAGACAGCCCCAGAAAAAGAGACTACCTTTTAGTTTCTAGGCAAACACCCTGGTTCTATGGTTCCTCGGCTTCCTTGCTTCTGTGGCCATCAGCAAGGCTATGCTCTAGAATGAGTCTACATAGCCCCGAATCCAATCTTCCACAGGTTTCCCTCTGCATTTGCTTACATAAGTTTCTCCACTCCAGCTTCTCATCTACTTAGGGTTACTGGAGAAAATCATGAAACCAAGCGGGTCTGCTCATATATTTATGGTATCGAACTGTAGGCAAGATATTACTGCAACTGCTTTCATGCAAAGCTAGCTGATTTCCTACGGTGCCCACAACAGCGTTCTGGGTCTCACCCCAAGAAACCTGCTTTTCTGACTGCAAAACTGTGAGACACAAGCTCTTATCAATTTAACTCATCTCCATCCACAACCATCCTTGCTTTCTTATCGACTGCCTCCAAAGAAATATCTTTCCAAAGTAAGCAATTACTTTTAAGGGTTTTAATACATACTGATAAAATCCTGTAGAAAGAGTATATGCAATTTACACTTCCAGTGTACTTTCCCCAAAATCCTCATCAAAGTTGATAATTATGTTATTGACCATTTGTATTTTTTTGTTTAGATGGTCACATCGTCTTTGCTGGTTTTCTACTGAGACTTGTCTTTTTTGTGTTGATTAGAAGAGCTCTTTGTACATCAAAAATAGTGATCTCATCTTTCTTAACTATTTTACAAATATTTCCCACTATTTGCCATCTGCCACGTTTTTTTAACATACATAAATGTTGAGTATTAAATTTATCTTTTTTCTTGAGTTCTAGCTTTGCTTTCATGCTTTAAAATCTTCCCCATTATGAAGTCAAATAAATGTTCATCTATACCTGCTTCTAGTTACTTTCCATTTAATTCTTGACAGTAAACTTTAATCCATCCTAAAGTTACTTTTGTGTATTAACCTTTCCCCCAGCCCTCCAAACAAAAAAATCATCTTAGAGCTATTTATTAATTTACTTTTCCCTCTAGGTTTGCAATGCTAATTTTATCATATACGAAATTTTAGTATACATTTGAACCTATTTCAAGGACTATCTGTTCTGCTCCAAATATGCTAGTTATTAAGCTATATTCTTCTGACCTCCAAGTTTACCCACCTCTACTCTGCTGTGTGATGCTGAGGGGGGAACTCTGTGAACTACAATTCTCCTTTGCCTGTTGGCTTCAAGATTCACCAACAGGAGGCAGAGAAGCAATGGGGGTGGGAAGAGGATGAAAGATAAAAGGGGTAGAAGACAGAACTTGATCCTTCCTGATGGCTTGCTGTTTCTGTCAAAACAAGCCCAGTAGGGCTTCCCTGGTGCCGCAGTGGTTGCGAGTCCACCTGCCGATGCAGGGGACACGGGTTCGTGCCCCGGTCTGGGAAGATCCCACATGCCGTGGAGCGGCTGGGCCCATGAGCCATGGCCGCTGAGCCTGCGCATCCAGAGCCTGTGCTCCGCAACGGGAGAGGCCACAACAGTGAGAGGCCCGCGTACCAAAAAAAAAAACAAGCCCAGTAACAGCCCTTCGCCTTGACGGGTACAGTTTCCAGCTTTTTCCCTTAAGTATCCGTATGAAGTGGACAGAGCCCCCTCTCTCAAGCTGGACCCTGCGTAGCACAGCAGCTAGGTAAAACCCCCTCCTTAGAGTTCTGAATCCCAGCTCCAGGGAACCTTGCCCCTAGACTTCTGGAGAGCCCAGAGATAAATCCGCACACTTATAGTCAATTAATCTATGACAAGGGAAGCAAAAGTACACAATGGGGGAAAAGACAGTCTTCAATAAGAGATTTGGGGAAAACTGGACAACTATATGCAAAAGAATGAAGTTAGAACATTTTCTCACACCATATATAAAAATAAAATCAAAATGAACAAAAGTCCTAAATGTAAGACCAGAAACCATACACCAACTAGAAGAAAACACAGGCAGCACACTCCTTTACAGAAGTCTTAGCAATTCTGTTTCACCTCAGGCAAGGAACACAAAAGCAAAAATAAACAACTGGCACCTCATCAAACCTAAAAGCTTTTGCACAGTGAAAGAAACCACCAACAAAACCAAAAGACAATCTATAGAATGGTAGCAAATGATCTGCCTGATAAGGGTTAATATCATATCCAAAGTATATGATGAACTCACAAAACTCAGTATCAAAAAAACAAAACCACCTGATTAAAAAATGGGCAGAGAACCTGAACAGGCATTTTTCCGAAGGAGACAGACAGATGGCCAACAGGCACATGACTGACTAGACGCCCAACGGCACTAATCATCAGGGAAACGCACATCAGAACCACAGGTCATCAACAAGACAAGAGATGACAGGCGTTGAAGAGGGCGTGGAGAAAAGGGAACCCTCATGCACTGCCAGTGGGAATGTAAACTGGTGCAACCACTATGGAAAACAGTATGGGAGTTCCTCATAAAACCAAAAACAGAACTACTGCTAATGAAAAGAGAAAAGAGGCAGAAGACCAACAGGAAGCAGAACACTTCAACATTATAAACCAACTAGACCTAATAGAAAGCACTATGCAACAGCAGAATGCATATTCCTCTCCAGTGCGCGTGGAGACAAACCACATGCAAGGCCGTAAGACAAAGCTGAGTAAATCTGAAAAAGCTTAAAACTCACACAACGTTTCTTCTCCCACCAAAATGGAATGAAAACAGAAGGTAGTAACAGAAAGAAATCTGGAAAATTCCAAGTATGTGGAAATTTAAAAACATGCTCCTAAATAACCGTGGGGCAAAGAAATCACAGGTAAATCCTAAAATGCTGTGACGTGAACGAAAACAAAACACAATGTACCAAATCTTATGGGAAGTAGTGAAATAGTGCTTAGAGGGACATTTACAGCTGTAAGTACCTACATTAAAAAGAAAAGTCTCAGGACTTCCCTGGTGGTGCAGTGGTTGAGAATCCACCTGCCAATGCAGGGGACATGGGTTCAAGTCCTGGTCCAGGAAGATCCTGCATGCCATGGAGCAACTAAGCCCGTGCGCCACAACTACTGAGCCTGCACTCTAGAGCCCGCATACTGCAACTACTGAGCCCGTGTGCCACAACTACTGAAGCCCACCCCCCTAGAGCCCATGCTCTGCAACAAGAGAAGCCACCGCAATGAGAAGCCTGCACACCACAATGGAGAGTAGCCCCCGCTCGCCGCAACTAGAGAAAGTCTGCACAGTGACGAAGGCCCAACACAGCCAAAAATAAAAAGATAAATTTATTTTAAAAAAAAAAAAAAGAAAAAAGAAAAGTCTCAAAGTAATAACCTAGGCTTCCATTCTTAAGACACTGAAAAAAGATGAGCAAACTAAAAATGAAGCAGAGGAAGAAAATAATAAAAATTAGAGCAGAGAGGCTGCTCCCCCGACGCCAGGGCCTCAGTCACTTCAGTTTGGCCTGCGGCTCTCAGGGGTAAAAGGGGCTCCAGAGGTGTGTCTCCAACCCCAGTGCCAATCACCCCACACCACAATCGTTGTGGAGAAGAGAATAGAGGAGTGAAGAAGGGTGCATTTTCCCTCTCACCTCAAAGCTCAGCTAGGGAAACCACGTAGCCCTGACCAGTAGGCTCAAGGCCCTACTGGAAACTGGTTCTCAGCTTGAGAGATGAGGAAACAAGAACCAGTAACAAGCACTTTTTTTTTTTTCAACTTTTGAGGGGTGCTGAGACAAGATGGCAGAATAGATCTTTAGCCAGACTCGTCAAGAAAAAAGGGAGAGGGCTCAGATGAATAAACTTAGAAATGAAAAAGGAAAAGTTGAAATGGACACCACAGAAATATAAAGGATCATAAGAGACTACTACAATCAACTATATGCCAATAAAATGGACAAACTAGAAGAAATGGACAAACTCTTAGAAAAACACAATCTCCCAAGACTGAACCAGGAAGAAATAGAAAATATGAACAGACCAATCACAAGTACTGAAATTGAAACTGTGATTGAAACCTCCCAACAAACAAAAGTCGAGGGGCTTCCCTGGTGGTGCAATGGTTGACAATCTGCCTGCCGATGCAGGGGTCGTGGGTTCGAGCCCTGGTGCAGGAAGATCCCACATGCCGCAGAGCAACTAAGCAACTAAGCCCATGCACCACAACTACTAAGCCTGTGCTCTAGAGCCTGCGAGCCACAACTACTGAGCCCGCGTGCTGCAACTACTGAAGTCCGCTCACCGCAACTAGAGAAAGCCCACGCACAGCAACGCAGACTCAATGCAGCCAAAAATAAAGATAAACAAATAAATAAATCTATTTATTTATTTAAAAAAAAAGAAAAGTAGAGGACCAGATGGATTCACAGGCAAATTCTATCAAACATTTACAGAAGAGTTAACACCTATCCTTCTGGAACTATTGCAAAAAACTGCAGAGGAAGGAACACTCCCAAGCTCATTCTATGAGGCCACCATCACCCTGATACTAAAACCAGACAAAAATACCACCCAAAAAAAAAAAAAAAATTACAGACCAATATCACTGATGAACATAGATGCAAAAATCCTCAACAAATATACTAGCAAACCAAATCCAACAATACATTAAAAGGATCATACACCATGACCAAACGGGATTTATCCCGGGGATGCAAGAATTCTTCAACATCTGTAAATCAATCAGTGTGATACA